TACAGTGCAGTGTGTGTGTATACACACACACACACACGCACACATACTGTATAATGGTATTCAAAGTAACCATGTTAGTCTGTGCAAACATTATCAGATAAAAATAAAACCAAAGAAAAATAAAAAACAAAAAACCCTTATCCATGCCTGCCCACTCCTTTTTCAGTCCCTTACAGAGGCTGCTGTTTTTTTAGTGTGGATAGGACCACTCTGTTTTCATTCGATTCCAGCATGTGTGACCACCAGTACTGAACCAAACTGGACCCCCCCCCAAACAATTCAGCAACAAGGCACTTAATAAATTTATAAACTATTGGCTTTCTCACCCTCCCCTATAGAGGGATCTTTTGTTGCTGCTGTGTCCTTTAAAATTCAGGGCCATGTCAGTTGGACAGCAAGCCACTAACACTAACAGCAGTGTGCCACTAACCTAAAACAAAACAAAACTAGAGTTTACTGAGCTGTTTCCCTACATTCAGGGGTGGAGTGGAGTGGGGTAGATTTTGATCACCCTATTTCTGTCTCTCTCTTTTCCCTCTCAAAGTCACAAACTTACTACACATCACACAACCCCCCATCCTGGCAAATTCCTCTCTGATCTGCTGCCAAAGGGTTTAAAGGAAACAAACAATTGCATCTGCTCCAGAGCAAGGAGGTGAATGGCCCAGGTGCCACTTGGCATGAGGCTAATGCTGTGCTGCAGAGATGGAGGAATGGTCTCAATGTGGTTGCTTTGAGATGCGGCATGGTTTCCTGAAATCACCCAGTCCTTGCATGTGGATGCAAGGATTGCCTCAAATGGCATACCACCCTTTGAAGTGACCCTGTTTGTCCAATCCAGCCCAGGCTATCTTGACCGTCTAGTTCTACTGTCAAGCTATCATACCTTGGGCATTTCAGATATGACTTACTGGGAAGCAGGAAGACAGTACATGAACCAATAAAGGAAGCTGTGGACTTCAGCTTGCAAGTACAGAGCAGGGCTATTAACGATAGGAAATCTGGGAAATCACCAACTCCTAGGTTTGTGGTAACTTGGAAATGATTTGGTACCATATAACAGCAAGGCTTGTATGATGTGGTAAAAATTGTCCAAATTATGCTGAGAAGACTGCACATTAAAGCCTTCCTGTATGGGAACAACCACTAGGCAGCTCTTGGTGTCTTTCTCTCATAATGGCAGCCTTTTGGTAAAAGACCTCAGTTGAGGTTGGGCAGTCCTCTGGCAGAAGGCTGAGTTTATAAGATCATCTTCAATGCAAGCATTCCTTTTGTAGACATCAGTGGTCAAATAATACCATTATTAGCACCAAAATTGTATAAGAGTGTTCAAGCATAAAGAATTTGGTTGATACTAAGGCATTCCTCAACTGTGGATTTGGAATTTTTATTTCATGGAAGAATGTAGCTACCTTTATTGTTGTGTTCTTTGAGTGTGGCATACTTGTGGTGCTAATATACAAGTATGCCACACCCAGCTGAGAGTCTGCATGGACAGATTACATGGGTGTCTATTTGTGTCCACATTCTCAACTGCATCATCTGCCTCTAAGGCAGTGGTTCCCAACCTTGGGCCTCCAGATGTTCTTGGACTTCAACTCCCAGAAATCTAGGCCAGCAGAGGTGATGGTAAAGGCTTCTGGGAGTTGTAGTCCAAGAACCAGAGACCACTGGTAATGATGCGGCTAAAAAATCTTGTAAATAAACATCTGAAGGTCCAAGGCTGGGGATCACTGCTCTAAGGGACTGAGTCTAGAAATAGCTTGTACTGTACTTCCTTTCTTTCAGCAAGGCCTAGATTAACCACTTGTGCAAAAGGGACTGAGTCTAGAAATAGCTTGTACTTCCTTCCTTTCAGCAAGGCGAGAAGATTAACCACTTGTGCAGATGTATCTCCACCAGCAGAATGTGAAATTATTTTTCACTACAATTTCTTTTACAAAATGTTTTAATTTGTATATGTTAATGATTTACTCATAACTGATTTCTTGGTAAGCTGATGAATTCTCAGGAATCAGTATCCTAATCTCAGGGCAAAATAAAGTTTTGACAGACCATGATTAATATATTATTGAATGTAACACAAGGATCAGAGCACAAATCTCATAGGTTAAGGCATCATTAGAACGTAGTTAGAAATAATTATTTCCTCAATATGTTAGCTCATGTGGGACCATTTTCTTGATTTATTGTATGAGATAGCTGATATAATTAATTTACACAACAGCTGGATTCTGTGGGAAATAGCAAAAATGAATGTGCACAGATAAAATCATGCAGTACATAGCTGCCATGTATAAATGCTATTAGTGTTACACTCAGGGAAAGCAAGTAGAATTTCTGGACATCTAGAAGTTTATCAGCTTTTAATACCATTATAAAGCAATAAAAAAAAACACCAAGTACTACGTAATACTGCAGTAATGATAGTAGATACTATGTAAAGAAGATGGAGGTACTGAATAATCAACAAACTTTATGAAAATTATTAACTCCTGATATATATATCATTTGTACACTTTGGCTACAAGAAACTAGTGCAAACACTCCTATTTTTTCTTTTTCTTTTCCCTTAACATTTTTTTCTGTTAAGAAACTGATGAAAGAAGAGTGGGAAAAAACACAGAGAATTGAAAGCTACATATATGGAAGATGTTATTGTCTGGGACTCCTGCAAAATCTCTGAATGAGCCAGCATGGCTACACAGTAAAAGCCTTGCCTGGGGCACCCTATACATGGCTAAACTTTAAAGCTGGATTATTCTTACAAGGGAATACAAACAGTTACAATATTTAAAACTTTTATTATAACTGGAGCTTGTTCTTCAGAAATGGTCATATACAGAATGTAATGTACAAATGTACATTAAAGAACATGGGGGTTCTGCCTAGTACAACCACAACAAAAGATCATACACAAAGACCAAGCTACATTAAAAGAATTCACATTTCCAGGGCCAGATAAACTATGTCTAAATGAAGGAAATTGCAGATGTAATTCCACGTGTTATAAATTTAACAGAGCAAGCGAGCTTGTTGAAGACTGGAAGAATGCAAATGTTGTCTCCATCTTCAAATTACAATCAAGCGAAAACAAAACAAAACAAAACAGGAGGAAGGAGGATCTGGGCAACTATCAAGCAGTCTATAGTAGGAAAAATTATAAACAGATAATTAAACGGTCTGTGAGCTTTTAGAAAGAAGAGCCAACATGTGCTTTCTCAAAAGCACATCATGCCAGACTAATGTTGCACAAAATGCTGTTTCCTAACTTTGCACAGTATAACCTGGATTGGGCTCCAGAAACATTTAATTTAAACTACTGTAACTAAATGTTTCCTATCCCCCTCCTTTTAGGTTCTGAGGCTCTCACAGGGTTCAGGGCTTGACCTGCGGAAGCCTTTGGGAGCCTCAGGTTTACGGGGATGCATTTAACAGTAAAACAACATGGCTGGATTGCTGCTGCTGGGACTGAACCACCAATGGTGCTCTTGCAGTAATTTTTTACTACTAAAGGCTGCAAGTATGTACAGCAATAAACTGCAATTTTAAATGTAAACACTTAATATTAATATATAAATATAGTCTTCTTCAACCTAAACTGTGCACAGTATGACTTGCATGAACCATTGTTTTACAGTATTAACAGAGATCAGTTCCAGAGCATATGCAGAGTGCAGACATAAATTACACCAAAACCACATTTTGTGAGTCCTGTTCACTGAAGAGTGACTGAATCATAATGTAGTAGCACTCGATTTTTCAATGGGCCTCAATCTGATGTTGCCCCACCCCCTAGTTTTCTCAGCTACAGAAACAGGTGCTCTTTTCACTCTGTAAAACTGTTTTTAAAGAATACAGCTACTTCCTATGGCCACTGAGGGCACAACTTTCTGCTGTGACCCGAACAATTGTCATAGGAATATGTGATGGAAAATAGTACTTATCTCCATTATAATTCAATCAGCCTTGCAGGCCAAATATTGTAAATATAACATCATGACTGGAGACCAAATGTCCTCAAAAGGAAACTCAAAACGTTTATACCAAGAGAATCTTCTAATGCAATTCATATCATTGCATTGAAAAATTAAGTAGGTAGCACTGACAGGTACGGTACTTAAAAGGATTCACAAAACAACTTGGGAAAAATAATGGCCAAAATCCTGTTGCCTAGCATACTAAATTACACTAGAGCAGGCCCATTGAATCAATATGGATTTGGTGAGCCAACTTCTCCGTTAATTCCATTGATATAAATGGCATACTCTAATGCAACTTACTTTAGTAGTGGGGAAGCACTTGCACAATTGTCCTTCCATGACTACATACATGTATGGACAGAATTCTGGCCATAGTATCAAGAGCCAGATTTTTCTAACTTGCACAATTGTCCTTCCATGACTACATGTATGGACAGAATTCTAGCCATAGTATCAAGAGCCGGATTTTTCTTGTCTTTACATTCAAGACTACCCAAAGGAATGGCCATAAACTAGCATTGTAATTATAGGAAAAAACTTACTGTCAACACTTAGCAGTGAGGAGAATCTCTTGCACTGAACTGAACCAAAGGAAGTAGTTGCGCAGCTCATCCAGAGGCCTTCATAAGTCCAAGTTGCAATAATTAATGTTCTTGCTTGACTAGAAAATTTCCAGACATTGCAAACAGTAGCAATGAGTAAAAAGATGAGTCCCAAAAAAGAGAAAACCAGTGCAGAGATCTGACATGATAGTGATCCCATTCTTTAAGAAATTAATTCCTGAAGAAGCTTCCTCTTCAAATTGTAGCCAGAAGCCTGTTTCAAAATACACTGTTCTATCAGTATAAATCATATGGCAACACATTAGTTACTGGAATAATTTTTATGATACGAAAAAAGGCATTAAAAATAAAACTATACGTGACATAAAGGTGAAGTTTTTGTGTATACCTGGTTAAAAGTTACATTTGAATACAGCGTGAATTCATTTTTATTGTATTCACATTCATTCAATGTGCAAGTTTCAGATTTATTTTGAAGCCAAATAATCAACTAAAAATTTTAAGTTATTTAACAGAATTTGTGACTTATGTTAGATTTAAAAGTCCAGTGTATATAATATAGATGAATTAGTAGATACTTACTTTCAATAATCTTCTTTCTGGGCTTTTCCCTCTCCTGTAGCCCTTTCAGTCTAGTGTTGTTTCAGAAGACTTTGAGGGCTGGTTTACCAGACTCAAACTGAACATTTTGTAATGCTTTAGGACCTTTCCCCTCATTCTAAAAATCAAGGCTTCCCATCTAGTTCATTGACTTTATTGATCAAATGAACTGAGTGGTTGGCAACATATAACCTGGGATCCACATGTGTAGCCAGCACCAATTCTAAACTCTTCTGCACCTCAAGCATTTTTTTTCTTTTCAGAAAAAAAATTCTAAAAAGTTAGAGACCAGGACACCTGGTCCTCCAATAACCCAACTTTTTTTTCAATTAAAACATTTTTTAAAATTGGACACTAGAGAGCTCTGGGGGCATTTTTCAGCTGAAAAGATCACTTTTCAAAGTTAAACCTATTTCTCAATTTACAAGCGCCTACTACAGTATATTGATTAAATAAAAACAAATATTCAAATTAGGCTCTTTGGACTCCTTTAGTTGCACATCCTAAGGATACAAAAATCCACCACTCTATCCACTACACCACATTAGCTCTCTACTTAAATAGTTTACAGTTTATAAAACACATATATTTCTGAATATCTTTTAAAATTACTTTTCTTCAACATAATAAAACACACAACACACGTATGAACAAAAAAAATGAGAAAAGAGTACCTTACATACAAAGTACTTGAAAAGCAAGGCTAAACTTCAGTACATGTGCAATGGATAGCCTTCATAATTAAATTGTAAAGTGCCCAGAGAGTGCATTAATCACTATGCTTTTCTAAAGAAATTTAGGGAGGGTGTATGTGTGTGTGAGAGAGACTTGACTCTTTCATAAAACCATGAAAAAAGGAACCTTTTGGAGTTCATTTTTTCCAAAGTTGCCCAAATGCAAGTTGCTTTTCTGAGTTACTTAAAATTTGTGAAGTATTCTTCTGTATTCCTGGACACAGTGGGACATGGTGGCGCTGCGGGCTAAACCACAGAAGCCTGTGCTGCAGGGTCAGAAGACCAAGCAGTCATAAGATCAAATCCACGCGACAGAGTGAGCTCCCGTCGGTTGTCCCAGCTCCTGCCAACCTAGCGGTTCGAAAGCATGCAAATGCAAGTAGATAAATAGGGACCACCTTGATGGGAAGGTAACAGCGTTCCGTGTCTAAGTCGCACTGGCCATGTGACCACGGAAGCTTGTCTTCGGACATACGCTGGCTTTATGGCTTGGAAACGGGGATGAGCACTGCCCCCTAGAATCGAACACGACTGGACAAAAATTGTCAAGGGGAACCTTTACCTATTCCTCGACACAATGGCAATATGGAGTGTTTTCCTTGATTAATGCTCAATGGACAAAGGAAAAGAACAGACTCTTAGTTGATTCTGTAAAAGGCATCATTCTCACAAAGTACAATTTGAAGAATATTACTTGTAAACAGTTTCATTATTGCTAATGAAGATCTGTGAAAAGTTGGCTCCTCTGAGAAATATTTTGTGTAATTAATAAAGATTATAAGGTAATAATTGTACAATTAGCTGTTTAAATAATGTTTGTTGGTATTTTGAAAAAAGCCTCCATTGAATTTATTTTTATTTTTTAACATGACTGTTTCTTGGTCAGTTCACTAATAGACGTTTATTGGCAGCAATTGTAATAAAATAGTATTGATTGTGGGTTTAATCTGGGACGATTCAAATGAAACATTCAATATGTCCTCCTTTGTCCTCCTTTTTGTCTTTCTATGTCCTCCTTTTGGTACCAATGTATCTGGCAACCCTACTCTCATGGGAGCGCCGTCCCTCCCAGCTCTCTGCCAACAAGGAGGTGCAAACACCACTCATCCCCCCTCCCAGGAAGAACAGACCACCGGAGCAAAGCTCAGAGAACATGGAGGAGAAACTGAGGGGGGTGTCTGTTGGAGAAGACGGAAAGATTTTGGCAGGAAGACACAAGGAGGTGCAAACACCACTCATCCCCCTCCCAGGAGGAATAGACCACCGGAGCAAAGCCCAGAGAACACGGAGGAGAAACTGAGGGGGTTTCTGTTGGAGAAGATGGGAAGATTTTGGCAGGAAGAGAACGACAACCCCGGGTAGAAATGGAGGTGGGGTTACAAGATATACAGTAAAGAGGGGGGAAGACAGTTTGCTGGGAGGTTGGGAGGAGATATGGCTGGAGGACCCTTGGACTGGCAAGGTAGAGAAACTAAAGGTCCAAAGAGAGGAGGCTGACACCCGGAGAAGGAGTGAGCTTACACCTAAACTCTCTTATTGGGGAGAAAGGGAGACAAAGGGGTGGAGGAGGAAGTTAAGGGAGGAAAAGGAAAAGGTGGAGAGAAAAGAGGAAGAGGCTAGAATGGATGATAATGCAACACCAGCAGAGGGGTCCTTCGGGAGACTTTGGCTGGAGGATGCCTCCCCACGAGAACCGGTATGGACAGATGACTGGGACAAAGATACAGTACCCTTATTGGAAAGGGAACATGAACGATTATTGAGTGCGGACTGTTCACTGGATTGGCCAGGTCCCTGGAATACGCAGGAAACAAAACCCTTTAAAGTGGAAGATTGGAAACCCCCTCCTAACCCGTTGTTAGGTTGGAATACTTTTGTAGACATAGGATGTTTGTTGAATAACCCAATAAATGTGACTCTGATTTCTAAACCCAAGAAGTCTGTCAGTTTATTTCAAGGAAAAGGGGAGCCAGGAAACAACCCCTCACATCATCTCAATAAAATTAAAATATATGAAATTCAAGATATTCATTTCTAAACATTTGATACAAAAATAATTTCCAAACCTCATCAGTTTTAACCACAGTTGTCCATTTTTAAACAGAACTCTATGAGGCTCACGGGGCACTGGTTAAACTGCAGTAAAAACTCTGCTCATGACCCAGGTTCATTCCCAGGTAGCTGACTCTAAGTTCACTTAACTTTTCATCCTTTTCACATTGATAAATTGAGTGACCTGCTTATTGGGGGGGGGCAATGTATAAGCTGCATAATGAAATTGTAAACAGCCAAGAGAGTGCTTTAATCACTATGGAGTGGTATATAAGCAGCATGCTTTTGCCTTTGTATGATCTGTATGAAGAGTCTTGTGGCACAGTGGTTAAAATACAATACTGTAGTTAAAAAAACACCTCTGCCCACAACCTGCATTATATCCCAGCAAATTCACGTAGCTATCTCAAGGCTGACTCAGCCTTCTGTTCTTCTGAATTGGGTAAATTGAGTAAATTACCTAGCTCGCTGGGGGAGGGAGAACAATATGTAGCCTGAATAATTAAATTGTAAACCAGCTGGGGAGTGGTTTAGAATAGATGGTACAGAACATAGAAGCACCAAGCAGTATAGAAGCAGCATGCTTTGCTTTATACACTTTGCATGTTCTTTTTAAATTCAAGTAATCTGCATGTTGATGTATTTGACCTCTAAACCAGGAGTGGTGAGTTTTAATTTCCACTGTGCTCCTGAGGGAAAGACCAGCCAAGCTCATCTGGAATGTATGCATTTGATGAGGTGATGTGTCCTGGCACCTGTGCTGCCTTGAATTACCTGGACTGACTCAGAGTGCCACCAAAATGAGTGACTGGTGAATAACATACCTTTTTTTAAAACAAACAAACCTGGGAGGCTCACCGTGAATAATTACTGTTCAGAAGCACAAGTGATCTAATTCCTGCATTGTTTAAACTGATTTGAAGACTAAACCTCTGTGCTACATCTCTGTTGAAGCTCACTTGTGTTCATGGATGAACATTTTAAGGTAGGATGACTTGCACCCAAATATACTTTGGCTCTTACCCAATAATCTAAGTTTTAGATAAAATAGATAACTGTGGTCCTGCATATGCTTTGACTGTAACTGCAGTATTAGATAAAATAGATAACTGTGGTCCTGCATATGCTTAGACTGTAACTGCTACAGTATTTGCTATAGCCAGCACTGCAAATGGTGAAGGATCAATCTGGACCACATCTTGTTTACAGCGGGCCAGGATGGAGGATTAGCGATCCCCATACCTGCCAAAGCTACCCTAACTGAAGATGCTCAATTAAGCATTCCTACTTCTCAATTTCGCTTGAAGCTTCTATTCATTCTGTACTGTCTACAATCATTCTATGAATATTTCCAGCCACACCTTGCAAAAACTGAAGATGTGATACTAAACAGTGTGCAAACGAATGTGCCACCCCACATTTTTTCAGACAAGACTCCTACACTTTTCACATGACAAAAATCCACCATATTCCTCCTATATCAGGTACGATGGGAGGCGGGGGGGGGGGACGACCTGTTGTTTATTTATTTATTTGATTTCTATCCCGCCCATCTAGACCAAGGGTCTACTCTGGGCGGTTATTTTCATAGGGATAGGGGTTGTGGTACAAATACGGGGCCACCTTCTTTAATTACAACTGTCAGAAGGAGCCACATGGCGCAGTGGTTAAACTCTGCTCACGACTTGGGTTCAATCCCAGGCAGCCAGCTCCTGGTTCACTCAGCCTTCCATCCTTCCGACGGCGGTAAATTGAGCATCCCGCTTGCTAGGGGAAGGAGCAATGTATAGATCGCATAATCAGCCTGTAAACCGCCTAACTTAAAGCGCCATGGGGCGGTATATAAGGAGCCTGCTTCGCTTTTTAAACAGCACGCTATTCGCGGTGGGGTGGGGGAACAGAACGGGCAAGCAATCCTTAGGAAACAACACGAAAGCTGCGTATTACAATCCCACTGAAGCCGGGATCAAGGCAGTCTTCTTTCTTTCTTTCTTTCTTTCTTTCTTTCTTTCTTTCTTTCTTTCCTTCCTTCCTTCCTTCCTTCCTTCCTTCCTTCCTTCCTTCCTTCCTGGTATTTATTCAAGCTGCCGTGAGAGTCCACGCCTACGTTTCCCTCTTTCCCCATACAAGAATATTCGACAAAGGGGAGCGTTCCCGTTTAGCTACCCCCAACCACCGGCAGGAGGGAAAGAGCACTCGCGCTGGGGCAGAACCGCTGTCCTATGCCTGGGACATCCTCGGATGTCCAAGAAAGTCTTGGATAACATGGGGACCTAAACTGCGCGCTGCTTTTGCTCTCAAAATGGCGTACGAAAGGGTGCTGCTTAAGCAAAGCGTGAGAGAAAACCTGTGGAGGAACTCGCAGCCCCATTATGTTTATAAGGAGGTTCCAGAAATAAACTCGCTAATTATGAGGGGGCTAAGATGTTCTTTGGTAGGAGAACGAAACGAACGAATAAGCTCTTGGAACAGCTTGGCCTTTCTCACAACAGCCTGCAGAGGGAGAAACGCCGCGGTTTCTTACTCCGGCTTGCCCGCTCTGACGCCCCAAGCTTGCGTCACAGGGGCCGCTTCAAGATGGCAGGAGGAAGTGCCCGCTAACCCGGAAGCAGTACGTTTAGCGTGCAGGGGCAAGATGGCGTGGGGTTGCTGTTCCCGAGTCTGGGCTAGGCAAGAGTTATGGGGGTGCGGAAGCCGGGCACGCAGGTAGGGCAGCGAAATGTGGTTTTTTTTACTATGGTGCGAGGTGTTGAAGTTCCAAAGAAAGAGTCTTGAGGGGGGGGGATTTAATGCGTATCAGAAGGACATTCGGAGGCCATGCCTTCGAGGCGTCTGAGATGCGAAGTTGTGGGTCTTGTGGCGGGCTGTCTTCGACATTCGTTTCAAGATCAAAACAAAACAAAACACTGCAATATATATGCCATTATTATCTTCATCCCGGCTGCTTGCGGATGGGGAAGATGTGGGAACTAGAAAAGGTGGAAGGATGGCGGTAGGGGAGATAAGGGAATTCTCTCACCTTTCCTGGCTAATCGTTTTGGGGGGATGGAAACCAATGAAATCGGGAACTGCGTGAACCAAAATCTTGAGAGTAGATGGTAGTGATAATAAGCTTGCATAGAAGGCTGGTCCGTTTACCTATTGCTAGCCTCTGGGTTTTCGGTTTCTCTATGCATGTTCTTTTTGGTCAGTTTCTTTGAGCAGAGGATGAAATCGTCTGTTACCAAAGATATTAGATTAGATGACCTATAAGGTCTCTCAGACTTCATGAATCTAGGTGTTCCATGTGGAGGTAGGAACTAGGATATATCTCCAGTTTTGGAAGTCTGTCATTTATGAATACATGGATTTTAGTGGTATCCACTTGTATTTTCATTCTTTTGTCTAACAGCCCTTGAATTTCTCAGCTTCACAGTAACATCCATGATGTTTGCAACATATATTTAATGTTTCTTGTTAGATTATCTCAGTATTGTATCCCAGAATTTTGCTTAACAAGAGGGTAATACATGTTTGGAAACCAAGTACATGTACAGTGGTGCCTCGCACAACGATGTTAATTGGTTCCAAAAAATTCATCGCTGTGTGAAACATCGTTCTGCGAAACACCATTTCCCATAGAGATGCATTGAAAACCGGTTAATCTGTTCCAATTGGAATGGATTGCCATCGTTCAGTGAAAATCCCCATAGGAAACATCGTTGAGTGAAACAATGTTTCCTATATTGGAATGTATTGAAGCCGACAGTCCGTCCAATACATTGCAATGGAGAAAACAAAAAATCAGCAAAAATGAACGAAGACTCAGAACAACACCAAATTAAGTTTGCATGCCTTTCACAAGCTGGACTATCGATGCCAAGCATTTAACACAGTTTCCTAACAGTTTAAGGCACTTTTAAATGAGGGAAAAGGGACATCGGAAAGAGCTTTAAAAGGGAAACGGAGATCAAAGAGCTGTTTCCGATCTCCATTTTCGCTCCTGTACATCGATATGTGAAAATCCCCCATAGGAAACATCGCTGTGTGAGGCAGCAACTTGATCAGAAAAAGACATCGTTATGTGAATTCATCGTTGTGTGAGGCACTCGTTGTGCGAGGCACCACTGTATTTGCTCACAATATCCCACTTTCATTTGTACTTCCAACTTGGGTTCACCCCTTAAAATGAAGAGGTTACATGTATCAGGAAAGACCATAAAATGAGAATTCTTTCCCATCAGATCCAGGAAATCAAGTGGAAATGTAAACACATATTAACAATGCTGAAAGATGAACATGGGAATCCATTCTCTGAGCAGAGTGAAACAAATAGAAGATGGAAATAAATATAAAACATATATATAATTATAAATTTTTATAATTATATATATATTATATTGATTTATTTTATGTTGTAAGCTAGACATGGTCTAGAGGGGCGGAGTATAAATTTAATAAATAAATAAAATAAAGATGGGAACAATATTTTGAAGAACTATATAAAAGATATGTGAGGATATCATTTCCTTCAAAGAAGAATCTTTTGATGACGTATCAGTAATTTTTGAAAATTATGTGAAAGAGACTCTAAGTCACCAGGAATAGGTGGAGCATAAATAGAACTATTTCAAGCTACAGATACTGTATCTATCAGAACCCTAAAACAATGTGGTAACAGATATGGAACAGAAAACAATGGCTGACAAACTTGACATTTTCAATGTGTATTTCAATCCTAAAGAAGGGAGATGTCAAAGACTGCAGTAATTATAGCAACAATCAATGTGATGTACACACCAATGAAGACATTGAAATTAAACATTTTCTGTACCTTATTTAATCATAAATCAGTCAAGAAATCAAAAGAAGACTAAGATTCAGGAAGGCAGCTATGAAGGAACTAGAAAAAAAATCTTTTAAATGTAAGCATTAATCACCGAAGACCAAGGTGAAAACTATCTGTACTGTAGTACTGTATTACTATCTAGAGATATAAAACCTGAATAATGAAGAAAATCAACAGAAAAAAATGAATTTATTTGAAATGTAGTGTTGGAAGAAAGCTTCCAACATGGCTGCTAGAAAGAAAAAAAGTTGGGTTCTAGGTCAAATCAAACTTGAAATGACAATTGAAGTTATGCTTTGCAGCATATGTTCAGCTAGAACAAGAGGGAAGACAGAGATATAACATGATAGCTAACTTCAGTATGTGAAGCATCCATTGGGGGAAGATGGAACAAGCTTATTTTCTGTGGATCCATAAGGTAGTACTGTAACTAAGGGATTCAAATTACATTAGGTGATTGCAACTTTAAAAATAACATATTGACAGAAAGATCTGTTTAGTTGGAATAGACTTGCTTGGAAAATAGTAGACTGTTTCATTGGAAGCTTTTAAACTGATGTTGAATGGCCATTTGCCAGAAATGGTTTGGCTGTGGATTTCTTGCATCAACAGAGAGTTGGACTTGATGACACTTGGAGTTCCTTTCATTCCTACAGTTCTGTGATTTATGGATCACTTATAAAAGAATATAAATCCAAATAATAATGCAGTGTAAGACAAATAGATAGAGGTAGCATCACCAGTATTCTTATCTAGAAGATCAGTATGTACACATGCGTATTAGCACTATGATTATATGTAGACCACAATGTGTGCTTTTAGGCTCTCTCATATGTAGTTGAAACTGTTAGTCAGGAGTTATACCTTAGCTAGCTTTAATGCAACTATTTAAGCTGCAAAATAAATTTGACAAGCAGGACTGCAAATCTGGGTAGATAAAATCATAAAAGTGAAGAAATCCAAACTATAAAAGTCACAAAGAAAATGTTTTCAGTTACCTTTTTCTGTATTCTTCCTAGTTATTAGGGGATTATGAGAATGAATCTGTTTTGAGTTCAATATATTGTATATTTCTCCCCCCAATCTCAACCAGGTTTATTCTGTATACATACACACAACAAAGGAGTGGATTTAGAAGACCAGCACAGAAGAGTGATCCCCACAGGACAAGTCTGGAAACTGGCACTAAACCACGAAAAAGTGGTTTATCTCCTATAGTTGAGGACCCTGTCTTTCATACATCTTCCCATTCAGCGAAGAGGCTTGTGAAACCATTCATCTTTACAATTGGGGTAATTACTTGTTCAGTGTTGCGTATAATTGGCAGCCATTGACATCTAGTAACCAAAATTTAGCTTCAGAGGTAAGCTGCACAATTTGGGGCTTTTCATCAGGTGCTGTAGCCACAGCTGCTGAGTCCCCTCCGCGCCAGGCTGAGCTCAGTCCCTGGGCCAGTGTGAACAGGACTCAGCAGCCTATGGTGGGAAATTCAAATGTCAGAGTCTCCCGGGCTCCACCGTGATGCAGAGCCAGATGCTGCTGCGGCTGCTAAGTCCCGTTCATGCTGGGCCAGGGACCATTGACATCTAGTAACCAAAATTTAGCTAAGTCCTGTTCATGCTGGGCCAGGGAGTGAGCTCAGCCCGGCGCCAAGGGGACTCAACAGCCGTGGCTGAATCACCCGATGAAAAGCCCTGAAAGGCTGCTGCTTCCAAGGGAGAAAGCTGCGCGGTGGACAAGAAAGGAGAGAGCCGATCCGCCCTTTCTCCCCGGCCGCCCAGCTTCTCCACTGCTGAAAATGCCCCAGCCGTGATCGCCGGCTTCGGAGGTCCCCCGCAAGTCCTCCCATGGTGCTGCAGAAGCCTCAGAAGGCTTGCCCAACACCATGGGAGGACTGGTGGGGGCACCCTGCCACTGCGTTTACTGGCTTCAAAGGTCCCCCGCAAGCCCTCCCATGGTGCTGGGGAAGCCTCCGAATGGAGAAAGACAGGGGGAAAGGGTGGGAAGCCTGGGAGGCTGAGTTTTGAATTTCCCGCCCTTTTTCCCTGCCCTTTTTTCCTTTCATAACCCGAAGCTGGGTTCGCAAATCGATGGAATATTTTCCCATCAGAGTGGTTCTTAACTCGAAAAGTTCGGAACTAGGTTGGTTCGTAACTTGATGGTTGATTGTAGTAGGTTTAGACCCATTTCACTACTGTAATAGATGAAGGTGTGTGAAAATTCTTCAGTGTATAGAAATGGAGAAGTAATTGGAATCTCATGCTATAGCAGTGCCTCTATAAATCTTTACAGATCACCAAAATATGAGTGAATAAAGAGCTACTACTACCAACATGAATTTGACCTAACTCTGGGAGGCAGTGGAAGACAGGAGGGCCTGGTGTGCTCTGGTCCGTGGGGTCACGAAGAGTCGGACACGACTTAACGACTAAAAAACAACAATGAAAAGGGCGAGGGGGGAGACTTAAAAATGAAAACACAGACAATAAACCAGCTCCCTCTTCACTCAGAATTGATGCACACTTCTTGTATTGTAACTTTCCCCTCAGGTGAGTTAAGTAGTAAGCCACTCATTGATTCCCAAAAGAGAAATAGACCTCTACTTACCTGGTCCTAAACGTGTTAAACACAGTGGCCCAAATCTTGTTTGCTTAATTTTATGTGGCAGAAGATGATGTCAACAGCTGCCATTATAAAATTTAATTTAAATTATCTAAATAGCTTCCTATCCTCAGATTTGAGTTCCAAGTCTCTTTGGGCTCCCTTGTGCTTTGGGAGAGCCTTTGGAAGCCTTGGTACAGAGGTAGGAAAGTCTTTAACTGTCACTGGGATCAGAACTAGCAGTAGTGATCCAGTGGTAATTTTTGATGATTAAAAGCTTCCTTTCCCCACTCTAATCATTAGGCTCCCAAAGGCTTCTCTAGAGGAAAAGGGAGCCCTAAAGAGTCTTGGAACCTAAAACAGGGAGACTGGAAGAATGTACTGTGGTGCCCCGCATAGCGACAATAATCCGTTTTGGAAAAATAGTTGCTATCCGGATTCGTCGCTATGCGAAATAAAAAAGCCCATAACAATGCATTAAAACCAGTTTAATGCATTCCTATGGACAAAAACCTCACTGTTATGCGAAAATCCTCCATACGGCTGCCATTTTCGCTGCCCGGTAAGCGAGGAATCGGTGCGAAAACACAGCGGGCGGTCATTTTTTTAACCTGCCAGCCATTTTGGAGCTGCAGATCAACTGTTGGGAAAACATCGTGATGCGAAAATCGGTAAGCGAAACAGCTTACCGATCATCGCAAAGCAATTTTTTCCCATTAGAAACATCGCAATGTGATCGCAAAAACGATTGCAAAAACTTAATTGCCCTTTAAGCGAGGCACCACTGTAAATAAATTTGACTGGCACTAGCTGACAATATTAGTTTCTACTATCTAAAGCTGTGTATACAGGGCCTCGACCCATGAGAGGTCCTTCCCCCAAATAAGCAAGATTGGGCTACTCAAACTATATAACTGCAGGTAAGACTGCACTATAAATCTGCTGATGTACGTGTTAATATTTTCAAATTCTGTTTCCTTTCTTTATTGTTGGTAAAAAATCTTCTGATTCTGCTAATGTGCTAGTTCTTTTGCTCTTGCCTCATAGGGCTTGGTTTCCAGCCTCCTGATCATCCTTGTTGCCCTCCTCTGAACTTTTTCCAATTTTTCAGCATCCTTCTTGAAGTGTGGTGTCCAGAACTCTTAAATAAATAATGCAGTCAACACAACAAAGTATCTTTTGGCTCACCAGGATCTCTCACACAATTGGATCTCTTGAGGAAACTGCGACCACTCATGAAGATCTAGCTGCAATTTGTTTTTCTTAAAAAGATAGATTCTGCATACTCTAAGATGATGCACATAGGTCTCTTCCCCATCCCAAACAGTTTGCTGCACCAAAGTTTTCCCTAGAAGTACTTCCTGGAACCAAACATGTTCCGCCTGTCCAATGGGGAGAAGTTTAAAAGTTATATTTCCACCCTATAATTGTTATTGTAAACTGTCCACTTAGTTAAAAGATAGAAGGAGAGACTTTAAGCTTTCAGAAGGCAAGAGGCTTGAGAGATAAAAAAGAATCAATGAATAGGGGCAGTAATTTTTTAAAAACTTGCTTAAAAAGGCGAAAAAGCACACATTCTACCATTAGTTTTTATGAGGGAGCTAATATGGCATGGCTGGAGCCACTCTGAAATGTTCTTTGTATTATAAATAGCTTCTTACTTACTGACCATGGAGATTGTTGTATAATCCACTGTGCATTTTTCTGGTGTTAATCTGACATTCTCAGCATATAATTCTACACCCACTGTTTCTCTCATTTTAAGAATTTATATACTGACCTTGGTTAAATATATTCTTAATTTTGTATAGTTTTCAGGCTGTGCTTTTGGATCAGCTGCCATTTGGCAATATGAACATGTTAAAGGCAGGGTCCAGAACTATTTTGAAGGTGCGCGTGCAGACTGGATGGATAGAATGCAACCACAGAAAGAGATGAACTTCAGAAGGCAGGTATAAGGAACTTACTCCAAATATTAATAAAAGTTGCATTTTCTTCCCATAATGGTACATGAAAATTCAGACATTGTGCACCAAGGAATTACGGTAGAATGTTACAATCAAAATTGTCTGGGGTATAACAACAGGTGCCAGGATTCATTGGCATTTTCCCTGTTCTGTCTTTAAATCCATAGGAGTTAGAAAATTATATTAACTCATTAATAGGTTTCAAAAGGAAAACATATGGGAAAAGATAAGTATATGCCATAAATTCAATATTAGGAGACAGAAAATGGATATTAAATTCTAAGGTTAATAGCCAGAATCCTGTTGGCGAAAACCTGCCTGTGCACGAGCAGCCTCGCATTTGGTTCCCCCTTCTGGCAGGCTGTCCTTCATGCAATCACTTGTGTGGCTGATTTTGCAACTAATGTAAGGAGACACTTAAAGGAAGGGAGAGACTTGTTTGTCTGATTGTCCTTATGGTATGCTTTTCCTCAGTCAGTTTCTGGCCATTATGTGTGTATTAGAGAAAGAAGGCTAAAAATTAATACAGTATTTTAAAGGGTACGTGAAACTAGTTCATTTCTTATTAGCAAACATGAATATAAGAAGAGTATGTTGTTTTCCTGTTGCATGATTGTAAACTGCCCAGAATGACCATTGGTTAGATGGGCGGTATATGAAATGATAAGAAATAAATATTCTCTCATCTTTATTATTTATTAATAATAATTTCAATAAATTATTAAAAACATTTCAGACAGGCCCTCCAGGACTCTATTCTATCTTGATTCAACTTGTTGTTCAACCCCACGGTCTTTTTTCTTTCTTCTTTCCCTTTTACGTTAATATTCACTGATATTAATTTTATCTGTTTAATTTTATATTGATTAATTTATATTTTATTTTGTTACTGTATTGTTTTGTCTCATACCCTGTTTTATGCTATGTAAACTGCCCGGAGTGGTCTGGGTTGCCAGATGGGTAGTATACAAATCAAATCACAAATCAAATTAATTTTATGTGCCACCCACATTACCAAACAGTCTCTGGGTGACTTACAACAATTTAAATGCAGTAAAAAAGATAAAACAATTAAAATGTAAATTGGGTTTCTAGTGCGCTTTGCGTACTTTTTTTGGATTCTCTGTCATGTGTGGTTTATCATTGCAAATTATGGAAATGTATATGAATGGTTAGTTCCAGCAAAAAGTTCGGAAAACAAAAAGTGTTTTATATTTTGATTTATGTTTTATATTTTCATGAAAAGAGATGTGTAGGCAACAATTTGACACGCTGTTTCTTTGTGATGTAACATAACTGCTAAAATTGTTTTGTGTTTGGTGCAATGAGTAATGCTTACTCTGTTACTGATGTGGACAGTATTGTTACTGCATACATTAATTGAAGATGTTGCAATTTTAAACTGAAAAAATGATCCTGTGCTTCTTGAAACAGTGCTTGCATTGTTTAAAGCAGACTAGAACAATGCAGTGAACATAGTAAAGGAATATTTCACTGTGTGTTCTGAAATTTTTATTTACCACCATCTTGTTATGTGTGTTTATTTTTGTGATAGTTTAGTGTTTTAGAGCAGTTTCATAATTTGTAATTCTGTTCTGTTGTACGCTGCCCAGAGTAGCAATTTGCTAGATGGGCAGTATATAAATTAATATACAGACATAAGTATTGTAGCCACTCTAAGGAGCATAGCTGACATTATTTGTTTCTTAGACATGATTTAAGCATCTGCCCAAAAAGTTCTGAAATAGAATATTCTTTTTTTAAACTTCTGAAACATTTTGATATACTGAAAGATGTTAAAGAACATAGCAGAGATGGATGAGTTTTAATTTCTGCCATCATTAAATAAGTAGAATAATGACTTTGCTTATTATGTTTCAGATAAACCTGTGGTGGAATAGTCTGAGCAACGGGCAACAGGCTGTGTCAGGTTTGTGTTAGCTTACAAGTATTAGACATTCTCAGGAAGAGAAATATGGCAAACAGGTACAGTATGTCACTGGGTGGCTTTCATACCATGCTTATGAGTTGATAGGCCTAGGAAACTCTTTGTCTGCCTGTGTATATATTGTCCATCTCTACATAGTTAAACTGATATGAAGTTACATAAATGTTATATTAGATTGCACATACATGAATTGTAGTCAGAATTATACCTTTTAAAGGGATGATGAAACTGGCCTGTACCTATTATGTTTTGTAGGATTTGTCTGTGATGAGACCTGTTTGCATGAGGTAACATTTCCCACATAGGAATTTGCATGTAACAGGATGTAACATGTAAATTTACTTATTGAAGTCATTAAAAATATTTGATACAGCCGTAATATCATATAATAGCATATAACTCTGAAACACTTTATTAAAATAAGCATTTCAGGAAGAAAAGACTGGTTCTTGCTGATGTAAGAAATGATTTCAATGTGTAGATAATAATTAAATTTATTCCATTTCATCCTTCTCAGATACTTAATCAATCAGTAAAAAGACAATCAAGGCTTTCTTGCAATTCATTAGTATTCTGTCAGTAATCTTTTAGAAGTTTCATAAAATAGGAAATATGAGAAGTAGCTCTTAAAAGGATATAATTGCTTGTGAGAGGCATATTCATGAATAGAAATAGTTATATATTTTATGTTATTTACATAAAGTTTAAGCAGTCTACAGCAGCACTGTAAGAAAATAAACCAATAATTTAAGAAAATAATGTTTAAGATCGTTCAGAAAAGCTTATGTCTAAGATAAAGCTAAAATAGAAAAGTGTGTTTTTAGGGAATGCCTAATACATGCTACTGTTTGACATACTGCAAAGAGTGGATGCCATCTTTGAGGAAACCTGTCTTTCTGTAATCACCAATTTGAAATCTATAAGCATATATTTCTGTGGCTTGTGAACTGGATATGACAGTCTTACTGTTTTTTGTGTGTTTTGAAAAATATAGTTTTCAGATTGAACGAACAATTCCTGTTTAAATCCACATGAGATATGATTGTCTGAGGCATTTGAGTTTGTAAGAACTTATTTGTGATTGTATATATTGTACATTTGCTTTGTCATTAAACTTTTTTTTGGTTAAATTTATAGGCATTATAGCTGCAAATATCTTTGTGTTCTGTTTATGGCGGGTACCTGCTTTGCAACGGACTATGATCAAATATTTCACATCCAATCCATCTTCCCGTAAGTGTATTGTATAACAGTAAATCCAAAATTATATGGATTGCATCTGTCTTGGATATTAAATTTTGGCTTTATGATTTAACTGTATTATTCAACAAAAGACAGAGTAAATTAGCTTTCATTGCATGAATTGTTTGGGGTGGAAAGATTTAGAAATAAATAAAGCCATATATTTGCATAGGATTTTATGCCCTAATAAACATATATTTCACAAGTAAAATTTACCCATGAAAACATTTCTCAAAACCCAGCAAAATGTGGTGGCAAACGCACCCAATATTACATTTCCTAGTTGGAACACTGTAGGGCTATAGCGATAAACTTATTAGTGCCATTATATACCCTTAGGGAGAAAGCTAAGATTAAAGTCAGATAGTTAAAATTTTAATTTTGCTGGTTTACTTCCTTTGTACTTCTTTCAGAAAACTTAATAATGTACCACAAGTATCTTAACTAAAATTTAGAAATAAGAGGGATCCTTCCTGTAGTCACCTGTGGTCGGTTTCTCTCCATATCTTCTTCTATGTTACTTATGTCTGCTTTGTTCTTATTTTGCATGAGTTGTGGAGCATCTTGTAGTTACATTCTGCCCCCTCTGGACCAGGCCTAATGTTTGCAGTCAAGGACTCATCATGGTGTCAGATATCTACAATTAATAAGGCATTGATTATTATGGTTATTATACAGACAAAGGTGTTACCTTTTCTTTGCCTTCCATTTGGTTTATTACCATCTCTCTGTGCTTGTGATACAAGGAATTATCAGTGTGAGATGTTTCTTTTTCTTTGTCAATTTATTTTATATGTTCGTCTGATGCAAGCTACCCAGAGTAGTTGCTTGCCAGTAGATGCATGCGTATGTGTGTGTATGTGTGTGTGCGTGCGTACACACACACAGGGATTATGCTCATGGCCAGTTTAAATTGTAGCCATTTAAGAATCTTCCCTGCACACCACATCAAGATTTGTTTAGAGCCAAATGGTTCCCCTCCCCTCCATCTGTCATATTGGCTAGGTGTGGAGACTTAGGCATTTGGCAAGGATTTTATTGCTGTGGCAGGTGCAGTGCAGAATTGCACAAAAGGAGTAGCAAATGATTAGCATTTTGTGGCACCTGACCGGACAGGAAGCAGTACATTTCTATACTTACCCTTCAGTGCATCAAGGTTTGAGTATGGGGATCAGTACCCCATTTATCTAACTCATCCACTTGATTATGCAAGATGGGGTGGTGGAAGGGGGCCAAAATTCAAAGTAGTTATTGGTGCTGTTTAGGAAGGACATAAAGCTATGGAAGAAATATTTTTGAGGTCCAGAGCCCCAGAATTTAAGATACAGAGGTAATTTTTCTACGTCTCTTATAGGAACTCTCCTAGTTTGGAAGAATTGGCATATGAGGACATTACTTGCTTCTCATTTGCTTTTCATTTGCTGTGGGTTTAAATTCCAGAATGATTGTACTGTATCTCTTTGGGTGGCCCTATTCTCTTCCTGTCCAAGGTAGGAGACAGAGAGAGGAAGCCAGCAGCATGTCTGCAGATCTGAATTCAGTTAGAGAAGAGTGTTCCCCATCATAAGACCCCTCTTACCATTGTTAAAGTCTTGGCCAGCTGCACCATGGCTGTGTGGAGGGTTAGAGGGGCAAGAAGAGAGACCACAGCATTTGCAACATCTCCACCACAAGACTCCTTCCTAAATAACACAGGCTGAGAGGGAGCTGCACCAGCCATAACAGCATGTCCTGTCTTGAGTCAGCAATTCCACAATTATTCCTCTTTCATTGTAGGAGTGAGAATAGGAGCAGTGCACCCCCTGCCTGGAAAGAAATCTTGCAGGAAGCTGAAGTTGGAGGGGGTGGGTGGGTACACCATTCTCCAAACAATTCAGCAGTGGTGGCCACACATGTATGGACCATTTGCCAAAGATTGGAAGCGAGCAGCTGCAACACTTGAAGTTCCTCAATGCCTATGATGGCATTAAGAAAGTTTGTGGCTCCAGGGAGCTGGGCTAAGCCACCCTCCAAGAGGACCAAGAGAGGGAGAGTGGTAAATTAGTTACCTTTGCTATGCTGTTCATAAGTGAAATTAAATGCAAAAAATAGCTCTTTGTAGTCAAATGCTTTTTCATTTGGTACTAGGGTGAGGAATCTGTAGCTCTCAAAGTATTGCAGGACCACAGCATCACTTAGCACTGTCCATTCTGACTGGCATTCAGAACATCGGAGAGCAACAGGTTCCCCATCTCTATTTTAATGCTAGTTGTCTTCAGTACTAGTAATGCAGTTTATTTAGAGGTATGCAAATAGTTTCGTACTCTCAAGCATGGTGAGTCTTCTCATCTAACTTGGTCTTTGAACAATTCTACGTACAAACTAAGTAAAATGGAGAAAAACAGTAGTGTTAAAAAGTCTGATAACTCCTTTCTTCCTTTCTCATCCAGGAGTTTTGTGTTCTCCGATGGTGCTGTCTGTATTTAGTCATTTCTCATTTCTACACCTGGCAGCCAACATGTATGTTTTGTGGAGCTTCTCAACCAGCATAGTCTCTCTTCTAGGACGTGAGCAATTCATGGCATTGTACTTCTCTGCTGGTAATACTCCTGAAACACCAATATTCGTTGGATATCTGTTTCTTGACTATTCAGATAATCTAAAATGTGTATTTTTATCTAATAGGTACTGCATAGGTTTATTATGTGTGATGAATTATTTTTAAGTTACTGGAGACGAGGTGGCACCCTTTAGCACACTTGTTTAATGAGTTCCCAGACTTTGACCAGTATATTGACTGTCCTAGACCCAGGTTTGGTTAGTCAGTTTGAGCTACTAGAATTGGACTATTAGTCCATTAGCCTTCTGATCTGAGGTGGATTACATTGGCAGCATCGCTACCATTTTAGTTTAGTACCTTTTTTTAAAGGGAAGGGGTTGGTATACGCAATGAAAGATGGGTTTCATTTACCTTTAAGTTGTGCAGAGAAGGACATTTCTGCATAACTGTTTCATAACCTTGATAGGACAAGTTGCACTTTGTAACATTTGTAACTTCCAGGGCTTCAGGATCAAAGGGCTGCGGTCATGAAGCCCTTTCACGGCTGCTTTATAGGAAGGGAGCCTTCCCTCCCTTTTTCTTAAGCCCCGTGGCTTCGCAAAAGGCAGGGAAAAGCTGCTGCCTTCCATGTATAAAATGATCCTCATTTTTTTTGTCTAATTATTTAAGGAAAATGTGTCATTTTATACACTGAAAAATTCGGTAAATTGAGGCGAAATGCCTATGAAACCTTCTTGCTCTTTCTAATATAGGTAGAGCCAACCTTGATAGCAAGACATGTGCATGTTCTAGTCTGGAAAGAGCTTCTAACTGCCTTAAAATTGTGTATTTCTTCATAGGGAAGTCCATTATCTGAAAGAAAAGAATGTGTAGTAATGTTTTGTGCCATTCAGTAAATCTGTCTTTCTAACATTTTACACCTTTCTAGGGGTTGTTTCCACATTTACCAGTTATATCTTCAAAATCGCCACAGGAAGGTTTGGACCATCACTTGGAGCTGTGAGTTCCTCTTTAACACAAACAAATCTAGGTGTTCCTCAGAAGTTCTTTTTTGCCATTGTTTCTTCTATTTAAGCAGAAGTCGATACCTTTGATTACAGCTATAGTGGAGAGTATTCTAATGAAATCTGAGGATGTCTGCCTAAGCCATACCACAGGAAGAATAAAACACATTCCTTATTAGATGCTAATACTTGTTTTAGCTTTTTAAAATGTTTCTATCTGATATCCTGTTGCTTAATATATGCCAATAGAAGGATGATTTTATCACTAGTGTGGAGCAATTTTCAGTAATTAAAAGACTTCTACTTTTGTCTTGCAGCTTTTCTGACTTCTGACTTCTTTCATTGCATAGAAGTTGTGGGAGCCGCAGGACCAAAGGAAAAGAAGTCTTTATTGAAAACTACTACTGCTGGATGACATTACTGACAGGGCCAGTTTTTGGAAAAGACTTCCTCCTTCTGTGGTTCCCATATGATGAAAGGGATTATATGAGAATAAGAAGAGTCACAGGACAGAAGTAGGAAGTTTTTAATTACAGAAAATGGCCCCTGCTGATGATGTCATCATTCTTCCAGAGATTTAAGTTGTACAACAGGATTTCACCCTATCTCTCTAATATCAGATAAGCCATTCAGTGAAGTGAATATTTTCACCACCTCAGTCTTCCATAACACTTGGCTTCTTAGATTTTAAGATTGCAAAGATAAAAGGAAGAATTAGTTGGGCTAGTTATGATTTTTAACTCAGCCTCACTTGTAAACACTTTTTTTTGGAACAGAGTCCTACAGACTTCAGTTGGTCTCCTAACTAGTTTTATAGTTAGGAGTGCAGTTCTGCTGCCTCAGTCTTCTACATGCTTATTTTGAAGTAAGTCCCACTGAGTTCAGTAGTATAAAACTGCTAAATTCTAAGGATTAATTGTTTTATAACTTTTATAATTTAGACAGCCTTCTGAGTAAAATATAAATGGGATCAGGTATGAAGCTACAATGTTTAGTGCGCTTGTTAAATCTCAAGTTTGGTTTGTTACAGTAGAATTTGTATTGTTTTTTCCTGATGAACTATGAGATTTATGCATACATTTCTGTCTTGAACCATTTGGAGAAGATGCTTGTCTGGATAAGAAATACTCTTTGGTTGGAATCCTATTGGTCTTTGTGCAAGAGTTGCAAAGCCTGCCACAGCTAGTTATGGTTAATTAAGGAGGTGCTTGGGAACATTCTGGCTGCACAATCAGGCATGTGACCAGGCATGTGACTGAAATGCACCCTGGCACTTCCTTATGTAGCCCCATTAGCTTCATCAGGTTGCACAAATGTTACATGAGCACCAATAGGATTTCTGCCATATTTAATGGAAATAATTTTCTCTCCAAATGTGTGTGGAATTGTCTTAATACGATGAATTTTTGCAGCTTCTGTAGCTAGGTACCGGCTGCATTCTTTCCCCATTATACCAGCAGTTGTTAATGGTATAGTTAATCTAACTAAATCCACTTCTTGAATCTCAGAGGAAAGATAAGCAATAATTTTCCGACATTGGTTTCTGGTTGATCTCATTTCCAATCTGAAATTAAAGGTTCTTCATTTTAATGGTAAATTGTAAAGTAGCTAATGTTTGAAATTAACATTCTTAATTTCTGTTTTAATGTGATTCCAGTCAGGTGCTCTAATGACAGTCCTTGCAGCAGTTTGTACAAAAATGCCAGAAGCCAAGCTAGCTATAATATTTCTTCCAATGTTCACATTCACAGCTGGAAATGTAAGTAGTTTTGAGAAATGGAAAGAATCTATCTCATTCATTGCTGTCCGTCAGTTACATTTCAAAACTCCCCATAATTTCAGTTTTAAATTCTGTTTAAGTCCAACAAATTATCAACTATCTAGAACTTTATTTGCTCCTTTTGCTATATACATAATAGAGTTGTTTGCTGCAGAATTTAATTTGTGAATCATGGGTTTCAAAGGCAATGAATATATAGAATTCTGAAGAGGGATCCCATGTGAAATAGTAGAAATTTCACAGCGGAGGTGTGCAGATTACTTGTCTCTATGAGCTACAGTATTTTTCTTTTTGTCCTAGAAAAGCAGGCTGGCTTTGCTTGATATTTCATGAATAGTCTTTGAAACTGCTCAGGCACCAAAATCCTGTTACGTAAATCATGCTAACATCAAGAGATGGTGCCATACATTAAAAACTTCCTGCTTTGGTCTGGGGCTCTCTTGCAATCAGTTTTACTGAGCATAACTTGTGCAAACCCCAAGACTGAGGTAGGAACTCTTTTAATTACAAATAACCAGTAATATCATGTTCGTTGTGCTGATATAGTTTATGCAATCAGGTTTTTTTTTCTAGTTTCAATTTTTACTAGTTCCAATTCTGCTAATAAATGATGTAATGTTGTTGTGTAAGAATACTGCTAATTCTGTGCTATTTGTTTAGGCTTTAAAAGCCATTATTGCACTGGACAGTGCAGGACTTCTCTTGGGATGGAGGTTTTTTGATCATGCAGCACATCTTGGTGGGGCTCTGTTTGGCATGTAAGTTCTTACGTTATGTACAGCTGTGAGAGTGTGACATGCAGGTGTAGTGTTTTTTCTACTTATGACAATTCTATGGAATGTGTTCTGACTTCCTTATTGCTGAGAATTATTCTCACTAAACAGTTTCATGAGTCTTGTGTAACATTTGTTATGTCTGTGATGCATTTTGAGGGTCTTTCAACTCAGGTTATGTTTTTATTTCTTCTAGGTGGTATGTAACATATGGGTATCAGCTTATATGGAATAACAGAGAACCAGTGGTGAAGGCTTGGCATGCATTGAGGACACGGAGTCCAAAGAAGTGAAGTGGGGCTTCCGCGTGCTGCACAAGATACGTGTACAGAACTGCTGTTGTACTTTAATGACAGGGAAGTGGCTTGGTTGTTGCTTTATTACAAAGGAAGTATTGGGATCCTTAGTTTCTAAGTAGTAATCCACACTTGACAATATGTGTATTTGGTAAGAAATATGACAGAATTTAAAAATAAAGATTTATATCTTGCTGCTTTATTAAATTAGTCTGTGTCGTTTCCTCAAAATATTTGAAATTAAAATAAAGTGGACATGTTTTTGTGAAGATAGGGCTTTCTTGTGATCTGGCATTCTGCGCTATAGGTCGTTTTGGTTGACAAAATTAAAGGGAAAACAAAGGCCAAAATGTTGTAATGCCTTGAAGACTAACAGATTTGTTTCAGTATGAGCTTTCATGAACCAAATTCCGTGCTGTCTAGACTCATTGGCTGAAATCCTGTTGTGCAATATAAGGCTGATGGTTGTACGCAACAGAATTTCAGCCATTATTTGCTTTTCTTAAAGCTTAGCTATTAAATGTGGGTGCTGCTGGCAAAGAGAATGCAGTTTCCTTCTGGGTCACAATGTTTATTTTGAATCTAGCCACAGTATGTAGCTTGTCAACGGTTAGAAATGTCCTAATCTCCCTTCACTTCTTCCCCCACATAGTTCTCTTCTCCCCACCCTGGCCTTCTTTTTTTCCCATTCTCACTGAGCCTTTCTGATGTTGTTCGACATTTAACTCTGCTTACTACTACCTTCCTGTTCTTCTTCGTGGCCTCTGTGAATGCACACATATGGGTATTGTCTGCGCCTGCGCTGATGTTCTCGGAAGATTCTAGAGCTGAAAGTAACAATTTAGTGGTGTGATTCCCCCACGAGGCATATGCTCTGCCCACCAGCCCTTCCCCTCAGTTCCTCTTTTCCGCTGAGCTGTTCAGTTCTCTTAGGAAGATTGGAGCGCTTCTAACTTTTTCTACTAGCTTTCTAGCCTCTAGCTATTTCTCTAGCCTCGTGCTAACTAAACCAAAAGTCCTAATCTTTTGTTTTGCTGCTTTCTGCTCAGCGGGAGCTATTTCTTTCTACCTTTTTCTCTTCTCCCGCCTTTATTTTCCCCCTCCCTTCTTTCCTATGGCCTATCAGTTCCCTTTCAAACGCTGTACTTCTTGCCCTAACAAAATCTCTCTTTATGATGCTCATGATAAGTGTCTTTTCTGTTTGGGTGAATCGCACCCCACTCATTCCTGCACTGCTTGCAAGAATCTCACTCGTCCAGCATTGAAACAGCACCTTCAGAGACTTCGGTCTCACCTCTGGCAAATAACGATGAATCCTCCATCCCCTCCTCGGGAACTGGTGAGATCCCCTGCTTCCTCATCCGATCAGCTCCCAGCTGCCCAGCCCTCCGCTGAAGCCACGGACCCCGCTCCCCCTGCGGATCCGAAGCAGAAAAAGAAAACCCAGAAGTCAAGAGCTTCCGCCAAGTCCTCCAAGCCTCCCATTCCTTCTTCTAAGAAGCCCACTACCAAAACCTCCAAACCAGAAAAAATTACTCATCCCCAGCCACCCCAGACCTTTCTCCCTCCCCCTCTTTTCGAGGAGTCTTTGAGGGACGACCAGGACTTTGCCTCCGACCAGGAGGATGTCTTGGGTGAATCTTATCACACTCATTCCTGCAGACAGTGATTTCTGCTATGGCATCAGGTTTCACACTAAGTTTCGGCCAACCAGTGGCTGTGATTCCCTCAGCCCGTTCCAACCCCGCAACAGGGAGGACAGTTGAAACTCAGGTCTCTGATCCCGAAACTCCCGCCTGCTCCCCCAGGAAATGAAAGGAGAAACGAAAGCATATATCTCCACAGAGACCCTCCATACCATTTGGAGATTTGTTCCCATTCTCCGTGATGCCATACCAGCTCTTTGACCCCGCTGTCTGGCAGGCTCACTTTGAGCGATATCATACTGACCAACAGAAACAGGCTCATTTCACCCCTGAAACTGCCAAGTCCCCTCCTCCTGAAAGAGGATCTGCCAAGACACAGCAACTGGCCTCAACATCGTTCTAGCCTAGACTCCCATTGTGGCAGGCTCACTTTGAGCGATATCATACTGACCAACAGAAACAGGCTCATTTCACCCCTGAAACTGCCAAGTCCCCTCCTCCTGAAAGAGGATCTGCCAAGACACAGCAACTGGCCTCAACATCGTTCTAGCCTAGACTCCCATTGTTATGGGAATCCTATGCTGCCCCTGATGGCATGGAGCAACCTCATATGTGGGATCAGTCTCCTTATGAACCCCAATGTGGTGATACATTGCCTTATTCACAACCATCCTTTGATGACAACCAGTCTGTCTCTTCACATCATTCCTCTCCCGATGTCACTACCACTCCAGATGGGACTAAAGAGGTTCAGCCTTCCTCCCCATCAGAGGACCTCTCCTCCTACACTCACTTTATTTCATACATGGCTCATGCCTTTCACCTTCAAGTGGAGGAACCTTCCCCTCCCGAGCCTGACCTTGTCTTCGATGATATTCTTCGTGACACGACATCACCAGTCAGCCTCTCCTTCAATAAATCGGTCTTACAACTTACAACTTATCAAAGACACTTGGGATAAACCCCCTTCGATGATGCAGATTTCTCGTAGAACTGAGAACCTGTATAACTCCCATGGCGACAACATTGGCTTCCTCAATAAGCATCCTCCACCAAATTCCATTATAGTGGAATCCAGTCAGTTTCGGAGCTCTAACAAATCTAAAGCTACTCCCATGAACAAAGAAGGCAGAAAACTTGATATCCTCGGCAGGCAAGTTTACTCCCTACAGTCTTTCCTCCTAAGGAACATTAATTATCAGGCCACTATGGGAGCATACCAGCGCTAACTTTGGAACAGGGTCCTCCCTCTTCTGGAGACCACTCCAGAGTCGTTGAAGTCTGACCTTACTGACATTCATGCCGAAGCTATCACTTTGGCCAAGCATCAATGGCTTGCAGCACACCACGCAGCAGAAGCTGCATCTAATACTCTAGTCTCATCCATTTCCATTCATCGCCATGCATAGCTTCACTCATCAATGATATCTGATGATACCAAGTCCCATGTCGAGGACTTACCCTTCAACGGTACTGGACTGTTCAACAGTAAGACTGATGAAGATATGGAAAACTTTCACAAAATGCATAAAACCGCAAAATCTTATTCTTCCCAACAGTTTTCCACCTACTCAAGGTCCAATTACCGCTTCAGTCAGCCCTATTCCCGACCCTACTCTCAATACCAATACCAGCGATATCAACCATCTAGGCAATTTCGACCTCATCAGCCAGACAGGTCTTCCTCGACCCCACAGCCACTCCTGCCCTCCTTTCGCCCATGCAGTTCAACTCTACGACGTCAGCCCCTTCCCAATAACCAGAGGAAGGGTAAGCCATACTAACTCTACTCCTATATGCTTCCCTTTCCAAGGGAATGCCCCTAACTTTTTGCAAACCAGATTGGCACCGTACCTGCCCTTTTGGCAGAGTGTTACCACCAACCATTGGGTCCTAGCCATCATTTCTCAAGGCTACAGGATTGAATTTCAATCCCTGCCCCCCTTGGGGTTCATTTGCCCTACGCCCTTTTCTCCTATCCTCCAGGATGAGGTTACCACCCTGCTGTCCAAGCAAGCCATTGTTCCCGTATGTGAGGGTTCATTTGCTGTGGGGTCAGTCACACTCAATAAAGGCTGACGGGTTAAACCAACAGGTTAAGTATTTATTGGAACATTAACGCTAACAGGAACAGTTTGCTTAACCTCATTTAACTTCTCTTGAGCCTCGGGTCTAGGGCGCAAGGGTGTCCACAAACTTCCCAAAAAGGGGTTAGTCTCTTCTGCAGTCCAAGGACCAGTTACATCCTTCAGTGGTCCTCCAGCTTCAGGAATACCATCACTCGGGAGAATCAAGGGAAGGGTTTCTTCATCGCTGCTCCAGCCCCATAGGGACGACTCTTCTCCGGGGCCTTCCAACCAGGGTCCGGGTAAATCCCCATCTTCCGCAATTCCTCCATATGCCATGCCTTTTTCCTTTCTATCTCCCTCAACACCGCCTCTCTCTCCTCTCGCAACTTACGCCTCCAGTCCTTAGCTTCTGTTTCCCCCCAATAGGATGGTCGGGGTTTCAAACCTTGTCTCCTTCTTCTCTCCGCCTCCTCATGAGGCACCTAAAAAGGACAAGGGACTCCGTCCCATTAGGGACTTAAGACTCCTAAATACATTCATTCGACCTCGTAAATTTCGGATGCTTACATTGGACACAATTCTTCCTTTACTTTCACAGAACGACTGGTTCATCATCAATCTACAAGACGCTTATTTCCACATCTCCATAGATCCTTCCCATCAAAAATACCTCTGTTTTCATTTCAACAATGCTGTCTTCCAATATTGCTCCTTGCCATCGGGCTCTCTACAGCCCCAAGGACTTTCACAAAATGTATGGCACCCATTGCCACTTACCTACGCCTCCACGGCATCACTATTTACCCCTACATAGACGATTGGCTAATTGTCACACTGTCATACCACGATGCCATAGCTGCTCGAGACTTCACACTCCTCACCTTGCAAAGACTCGGACTGGCTGTAAATGCACAGAAGTCTCATCTTCAACCCAAACAGACGGCCCTCTTTATCGGTGCCCACATCGACTCCCTGCAGAAAGGCCTTTCTTCCTCATGAAAGGTTCCTAAAAATAAAGGACTCAATATCGTTCTTCCGAACCCATCAAACTGTCCCCGCTCATTGAGCACAGCGCCTTCTTGGCCTCATGGCATCCACCACATTGTTGATTCTCCATGCCAGACTCAAAATGAGACTGCTTCAATCTTGGTTTCTCATGCTGTTCGACCCCATGTCAGACCTTCCAACCAAAAGACTGCCAGTCCCTCGCGACCTAGTCACTCAACTCGCATGGTGGACTCACCTTCCACACCTGCTGACTGGCAGACCCTTTCTGCCCTTCCAGCCCACCATTCAGGTCACCACCGACGCCAGCCCATCCGGCTGGGGTGCCCACTGCTTTTCTCACAGGATCCACCAGCTGTGGTCAAAACAGGAACAAACTCTCCGCATAAACCACTTGGAACTTTTGGCTATTATCAGAGCCTTCATTGCCTTTCTCCCACTCATCAAGGGACAAGTGGTCCAACTGGCCACAGACAACACAA